CTTGTCGTTTTTCATTAACTTATTTTGTCACTTTTATTGTTTAGACTTCTCCTTATTTCATATTTTGGTTCCAAAACATCCCTTGTTAAACCTCATTTTTCAATTCCTAATCTTCACATTTATTCTCCTAATAAAATTATATTAAAAGCTTCCTCATTCTTTCTTTCATTGATTTGCATATGTTTTTTCAGTTAATTCATGCTATTGTCTTACCGTAACTTCTCCATCTCTATGAAAAAAATTACTCTGAATTTTTATAATTTCATTCCTAACTAAGGACATTTTAATTTTAAATAATGATAAAAAAATAAAGGTAAGAAAATTATGATTGATTTTATTATGCACACCCTCCTGACAAATGATAAATGCTTTCCATTCCATTTTACAAGTCTTTTCTTTATTTTCTCTATCATTCCTTTCCAAAGTCCTTTTGAGGTTTTTCCTCACTGGCATTTCCATATATATACTAGTACAAAAATTGTGTACAACGTTGAATATTTTGGACTTTTAACGGTGAATTCACGAACAATGTCACATTAGGAGATGTTAAATTAATGTCGACTTTAAAAAATTCGACGTTAAATTAACGTAATTAACGTCAATTTTTGTCAATATACAACGTTAACTTAATGTCTAATTTTTTCAATATATACGACGTTAATCAATTTTTTTGTTTTTTTAATTAATTGTGATCCTTTTTTACAACTCTACGAGATCTGAAAAGCAAAAAAATACACAAATTTCAGTTTTTGGTATTTTATAAAACAAAAACTATGAACGTGTAGTATCAAGAACAAACAACAATAACCAACAACAAACAAGTTCAATCAAACAACAACAACAAGTTCAACCAAACAACAACACACAAGTTTAACCAAACAACAACTAACAATTCAAACAAGTTCAACAAAAAAAACAACAAATAAGTTTTTCAAAACGAAAACGAAAATTAACCTTCAAAAGGTGGGTTCGTTGGAATAAAGTGTTGTCACCAGTGACAGAGAAAGCAGAATGCTCCTGTGAAGGAAGAGAACACAAAAATAATCGGTTAAAACAAACGAAAATCATACATAAAGTAATTAATTAACATGCATTTGTATCAAATGAAAGAAATATTACATGTGATGGACGTTAAACTTTGTTCGAGATAAGTTTGAGAAGAGAAAAGGTCCCGCGCTCTAAGATGAAGAATTTTCAATCTTCCGCTCAAATTTTTATTGAATTCAGTAACCTTTTAATGTCTAGCGCTCGGACATTCGACATTTTATATCCTTTTACGTCGAATTACAATTCTACATGATGTTTAATATTTGCATTTATTTACAAAAACCCGCGTTGATTTTTAACGTTGGCTATTTAGTGGTTGGACGTTAAGGCCTTGTTCACTTGAATGGATTTACAATTCTAAATGATCTTTAATATTTGCATTTATTTACAAAAATACCAGCGGTCATTTTTAACGTTGACTATTTAGTAGTTGGACGTTAAGACCTTGTTCATTTGAATGGATTTGGGGGAGAGTGATTGACGGGATTTGAAGGTAAATTTTTTTGTTGTTTATTTGAGTGGATTTGGAGGTAAGTGAGAGTGGATTTAGAAGTAAATTTTATGAGGATTAATGTAGGATTTGATTAACATGACAGATTAAAAAAATTTGCTTCCAAATTCACTTTCATTCATCTCTAAATTCACTCAAATAAACAAAAAAAAATTATCATAAGTTTAAACGCGTATACGCTATTTTTTAGTAGTAATACAAACAGATAATTGATCATTTATGCTCCAATTTAAGTTTTCTTAAATCCTAAATCTCAGTATTTAATTGCATTAATCTATTTACATTAGACGGATGACCACATATTTAATTATCCATTGCATTAACATAATTTGTTATCTAAATATAAGTTTATTAAGTTAAAAGGATACTAAGATATTATAAATAAGATAAATCCAATATATTTATTGTTAATTAATTGTATACTTTTATACTTAATTAAGTAATTAACTAATTTTAGTCTTAAATGTTTTTATAATTACAAATAGTCGACAAACGAAGATTGAAAAAAATACATCCAAAATAAAAGAGAACGAAATTAAAAACAAAGATACACAATTGAGAAAGATAATATTATTGTTCTAAGTTATTTACCTCTAATATTAACACTTTTAACGAAGAGAAATATTTTTTTAACAATTTTCTTTTAACAATTTTTTTTTGACAATTATTTTATAATAACCTATATGGTAACTTGTGATTAGTCTGTTTTAAATATACAGACCAATAAAATAGTGACACATAATTTATTATAAAAAAGTTGTTAAAATAAATTATGTCATTTTTTATAGGAGTATGAATAGACACACCACAAAAATTGCACACATAAATTTAACATTACTTACATGATTTTTACAATTGATATATTAATTGGTTTAAAGATGAATTTAACCAAAACATTGCATTAACCAAAGTGTTGTGATTATGAAAAAAAGAAAAAAAACTTTTAAGATGCCATGTGTCTCCATCATGTCCATCCACTCTTTTTGAGTTGCATCAGAACCGATTATTCTCACTTAGGCCTTGTTCACTTGAATGGATTTGGGGGAGAGTAATTAAGGGAATTGAGAGGATTTGAAGATAAATTTTTTTGTTGTTTATTTGAGTGAATTTGGAGGTAAGTGAGAATGAATTTGAAAGTAAAGTTTGTGAGAATTAGTGTAAGATTTGATTGATGTGACAGATTAAAAAAATTTACTTCCAAATCCACTTTCATTTACCTTTAAATTCACTCAAATAAATAACAAAAAAATGTATCTTCAAATCCTCTCAAATCTCCAATTACTCTCCTCCAAATCCATTCAAATGAACAAGCCTTAAAAAAATTGAATTATTTAAATAATTATATCAACTTGTTTAACCAATCAGATTTAGTCCACGTATGCAAATATGTTAATAATTAATTATTTATGTTCTTAAAAGGTCGGTGGAAATTTCGTGGAAATTTCACAAAACCTTTTAATTACTATTTAGTGTTCGGAAATGTTATAACAATTGATATTTTAATTCATACATAAATTTAATTATCAGTTATACATATTTAACTAAAACGTTACACAAGTTTAAAATAAGTACTGTTCAACAAATAAATAAATAACAGGTGGAAGTGTAAAATGAGTGTGCATTACAAGGAGGTGTACGTTTATCATTTTTCTTTCTATAATAGATTATTGTAGGCTTAAAATTGTTGTTATTTTACAAACCTTATTTTTTTTATATTAAATATAAATAAAAATAACAGAATAACATTGATTTTAAATGGAATAATCTTAAAACTTTAATTTTTTGTACTTTCTTTCTTCTTTTAATTATTTTTTTGTTTTATTTACTCTCTCAATATTTATTTTTCTACAACAAACACAATCCTCAAAAACATTAATTAGCATTTAACTTGTAATAAATATATTAAAAGTCATACACAACCAATCATTAAATAAATGTGTAAACTGTTTTACACTCTTAACCTTTAATATATGCATAACTGTCGGTAGTTGATTAATTGATTTTATCATCCACATTTATTACTTTATTTTCGGTTTAACTTTTTTAATATTATAATAAAAAGAACATAAATTTAATTCAATTAATGTCTGTGAAGACAATTACTGGGAGCATATAAATATGATATAATAAAGCAATATAAATAAAGGGTTCATTTAATGAGTTTTTGTAATAGATGAAGAAAACAAATTCTGAAAAGCATTACAAATTGATTGCTTACAACATCTTGAATTTGACTGGCTCTCACCAATGACTTCCTTCAACCCAATAACATTAAATTGAAAGATTCCTCTTCATTACAAATGCAAGCAGAAACTCAACCCCACCACTTTCATATTTCACAAAACCACAAAACCAAAACCAAACCAAACCCGCGTTTCAATCCACCAAATCCAAAATTCGGTTTCAGTGACTTTGTTTTTTAGTTTCACATTTTCCCAGTTCTCTCCCCTTTTGCATGCAGATGAGTTGTCATGTGCTTGGCAAAAAGGCAAGGCTAGCAAAACCATCGGTTACATATTCTGAGTTTTTCATTCAATAACATTACATTTTCTTTTCCTAATTTCTGTAATTTTTGTTTTTTTCTACAGCTATAGCTGTTACTAGGTTGGAGTGATGATATCTTAGTATGTGGGGTTATACAAGTTGAGACCTTTCATTTCCGTTCACCATTAATCTAAGGAAAAAGGTGGTGAAAATCTCATCAGTATTTTCTTTATCAGCTTTTATTGCCTTTGTCATACTGAAATGCAAAGGGTTGGCATCTATAAAGTCCCTTCTTCAGAATTCACATAACTCACCCCAGAAAAAGTTCAAAAACCAAACTCAGAAGTTTAGTCTCTTTTGCAGGTGAATTGAAAAAAAAATGGATTTTGCCATGGGAGCTGCAGGTGGATCTGGAGATGATAAACACAATCACAATCACAATAAGAGCTCAAACAAAGGGAAAAAGGCCTACCATGGTCACAACTCTGATAGAACTTCTAAGCTTGAAGAGTAAGATCACTTTTTTACTTCCTCAACAACTTCTTTCTTTTATTTATTTCAAGTTTTCAATTATGAACGATGTGTAAAAAAGGGCTAATTTCTAGATCTACCATCCATATATCTCTTCCTGTATCATAAAATTTGTGCAGTTTTTATCTTGTTCAATTATTTATGACGAAAATCACCATTTTCCGTGGTTTGGTCCTGCTTTTGCCTTTGCTTTGTTTAATAGTTTTAATGGATGAAATTCACTACTTTTTTTTGTAATTTATATTTTTATTAATTTTAATTTGTGACCAATCTTATGTCTCTTCATTTAATGAGAAGAAGTTGATTTCGTTTTGACTTCCTTTTGATCTTGATCTCGTGAAAGATGAGAGTGGGCATGCCGTGAGTTTAGAAATTTGAAATATAATTCATTTCCTTTATATTTAGTAAGGTTTAAAAGAAACAGGAGTGATAAAATAGTTGAATGCAATGTATTAAGCGAATATCATTGAGAAAGATTGGTTCATTGACCCATATTTAAAAAAAAAATGAGATTAATTTTAATGTTATTAATGTTGTTGGGGAAAATCTTAATGATTATGAGTGTTTGGTCATGAGTTTTCTTAATTTTAATTAAATTACCATAATAACAACTTTAAATTTAATTACCAGTTAAACAGTTTATCTTTTCCATCTATATCTGAATTAGACATTTTTTTTGAACATGCTATGGCCTCAACATTTACAATGTTCCTATCCTTTGAATATGTTTAATCTTTTTTCTTTCTTGAATACGCTATGTTGTAAAAGCCTTTCAAAATTGAAAGGTACCCACTTAAATACTTTTCATTTTTTGAATATGCAATGGTGTTCCAACCCAGAATGTTTATATACAAAAAAAAAAAGCAAATATTCATAACAACAAAATATGAGTACTCTCCTTCGAACAAGACTTTTCCATACACAATCAAATTTATTATAAATCAAAATGACCTTACATTTTATGTTTCTGTTGGCATTCATCTATAGAGTCAAATTATATTTCCCCTTATAGATTATCTCTCACATGTTAGTAAGAAATAACATATATTTTTCTCATAAGTCTCTGATTTAGTAAAAAGTAAAAAAATTAAATAACATATAAAAAATTATCATTTCAAAATTTTAGATTAAAATGATATTAACTCATTATTTATATTTTATTGGTATTTATGTTTTATTGGTGTTTCCCTGATCATGAGTCATCTATCACAATACCCATGAGTAGTTTCAAGCCCATTGTTTTAAATCTTTCCAATCCAGTATTATATATTAATTTTATGCATAAAGGTTATGTTTCAATAACTTTAACTTCCAAATATGTTGAATTTAAATTATATTTTAATCTCCCCCAATAAAACTAATATAGAAGAAAAACTTTCAAAAAAGGATAATTTTTTCCATTAAGTTGATTATTAGTGTTAAATTAGAAAGAATATATTTTTGATATTGCTGATGTCTTTTTCCCTTTGTTTTACATAACATATTCACATTCTCTCTCTCTCTATTCCTTGTTACCTGTGTCACTTTTGTACGGGTATTTGTCGTTTATATAACTGTATTAACGGTGATATTTATTATGGGTTAAAGAATGTTCCGGAAGTGTCCACATCCAACAAAAAGCACAAGATCTCAAATAGCAGAAGAACTGGGACTTGAGCCAAAACAAGTAAAATTTTGGTTTCAGAATAAGAGAACTCAAATAAAGGTAATCTATATTTATTTTCTTTTCATATTTATTAAAAAATTGTTTTAGTGATAATAACCATTTTACATGTGTTTGTTTGATTGAAGACTCAAACTGAGCGAACAAATAACAGTCTCTTCCGTATTGAGAATGAAAGGATACGTAAAGATAACCTTTTGTTAAGAGAGGCATTCAAAAATATAATTTGTCCATCTTGTGGAGGTCCATCAGAGGTTGATGAAAAACGTACACACTCTCTAGAACAACTTCGTATTGAAAATGCTCGTCTTAGAGAAGAGGTTTCTTCACTGATTTCATCATTTTTTACATTTCAATAACTTTTTACCATGGCAATATATGATTCATGTTTATTTATGCTTTTTTTTTTCAGCATGAGAGAGTGTCTAGTGCTCTTGCAAAGTACATGGATAAACCAGTGTTAGACCTAAACATGGGCTATAGTCTTATGAGGGGATCTTCATCATCGTGTGTTCCATTAACACCAGGAAGTTATCTGAGACTAATTGGTTCATTTCAACGTGAAGATACCATGTTCAACCTTGGGAACAGAATTACACAAATGGAGAAAACAATGATGTCACAAATTGCAGTGGCTGCTAAGGAAGAATTAATTAAGCTTCTGTGTACCAATGAACCCATATGGGTCAAATCTTCAAATCATCAAAGATTTGTTCTTCATCAAGAAAGCTACCAAACATTCTTTCCAAGGATTAATCACTTCAAGAATTCTCAAGCTCGTGTAGAATCATCAAAAGATTCAAGGGTTGTGAGAGTTAAGGCAATGGAATTAGTTAACATGTTTCTGAATTCGGTCAGTACTCTCAAAAGATCCACTTTAATATTTTACCAAATAGTTTATTCAAATCTCTCTGTCTCTCTTCCTTTATATAATCATATCCATTTTTATCAGGAATACTGGGCAGATCTTTTCTCAACAATTGTTACAAAAGCACGCTTAATCAAAGTACTTGAAAATGGTTCAAACCGAAGCTGAGTTTTGTTGTTGGTATACCTCGTGCAAACCTCGCTCGCTCTGTGTAATCAGTTTCTTTCTTACATTTATATAACAACTTAATACCTTTTTTTTGTTTTGCTTATGTAGATGAGTGAAGAGCTGCATGTTCTTTCACCTTTAGTTCCATCTCGGGAAATGTTCTTCCTTCGTTATTGTGAACAGATTGAAGCACATTCATGGGTGATAGTAGATGTTTCTGTTGACTGCACCAATGGGAACATCAATCCTAAGTATTGGAGGTTTCCCTCTGGATGCATAATTCATTAAATTTCAAATGAGTTTTGCTGGGTGAGTATTATATATAGATAAAATGCATTGGTGAACTAAGTTACCACTACTATATGTATTGCTATTATAATTAGGTCATTATTTTCATCATGGGTGTATATGTATGTACGTGGATGAAATGTGAATGATGATTTAAACAAATTTGTGTTATAAAATCTTATATTTCTTCTAGATTTCTTGGGTTGAACATGTGGAAGTGGATGAGAGGATTGAAACGCATCAACTATACAAAGATGTAGTTAATAACAGCATTGCTTATGGAGCAGAACGATGGCTGTTGGAACTTCAAAGAATGTGTGCAAGATTTACAAGTATTGGAGATGAAATACCTGATTATGACATCAATGGAGGTTCTTATTTCTAGCTTTATTCCAAACCTGTTAATATTTGTGCATACCTAATTAAGATTATATCTGACATGAATTTTCAGTGATACCTGTTATTGGAGGAAGAAAAAATATGATGAAGTTTTCTCATCAAATGGTGAAAAACTTCTATGGAATTTTAAACATTTCAAGTAAGACAGAGTACATTCAACATTTAGCTGAGGAGAATGCTAATATTATGATTCTTGCTCGGAAATACACAAACTCAAGTCAATCAAATGCCATGATTATATTCATTGCTACTACTTCTTTTCGGCTACCACTCCCCTCGGAATATGTTTTTGACTTCTTTAGAAATCCAACAAAACGAGCTAAGGTTCAGAAATTTAACCCATTTTTTTTATCAATGTATAAATTTTTTTAGTAGTCCATTTATTTGTTATTTTTTTTTATTTGACAGTGGGATGTTATGTGTTATGAGAGTCCAGTGCACGAAGTTGCACGTGTCTCGGTTGGAACTAACCCTAGCAATTGCATATCGATTATACAGGTACCCAATTACCATATTATAAGGGAATGTTTGATCATTATCTATTGAGATAATTAGAATAATAGCTTTAGCTGAGCTTTTAATCAAATTTTTAAATTTGGTGTTGTTACTTTTTTTTGTATGAACATGATTAAACTAATTTTAATTATTCATGTGGAACAGCCTCTTCACCGAACGGCTAATAACATGGCCATTATTCAGGAAAGTTTTATTGATGCTTTGGGATCATACGTTGTGTATTCCCCTGTGAATATATCTGACATAAAGATGGCTGTAAATGGTAAAGATTCAGCAAGAATAATGTCAATCTTTCCATCAGGCATTGTTATATCAAAAGATGTTCAAACTATCACACATGCTTCTGCATGGAGTAGTGGAAGTGATGACACGAGAAGGCACGGTACTCTACTGACTGTGACTTTTCAAATACTGATGAATGGTCCAACAACTATGGTAGCAGAATCCAAGACTGTTGTTAACTCTCTCATGACCTCAACAATACAAAAAATAAACCATGCTTTGGTAAATGGTTCTAATTTAGAGTTTTAGTATTTTTTCCTTTTTATATGAAAGATGATATGAATGGAAGTTTTGCTTCCAGAATTCCTTGGGAGTGGTTGAATCTTGTTTATGTGCTATTTTTCAATAATAATAAGACAAAAATTTGCATACATATACTTTAACTTAGACTATTTAACCATATCTTTATTTTATAGGCATTTTCTTATGAGTAAAATTAAATATATTGAAGAGACAATCTATATATAATAAATAAAAAAGTTGCAACAATTGCATAAAATTCTCCAACTATTATCTTTCTTTTCTATCCCTTAAAAAACTCTATATTAAAAGGTATTATGGGGTGTAGTTAGTAATTCTAGTGCATAGCTTACATTTTATCACTCTAAAACTCATTGGGCCTACTTTTATAAACTTTATATTTTATTTTTTTCTTTAATTCCTCTCCTCTCTCATCTACAAGTTTTCCAATTCAAGTCTTATATCATTTTTCTTTTAATTTTTCATTTTATTTATATACTCATATGATCAAATAACCAATAAAATACAAATTTTGTTAGCACTATGCGACACTAGTTGGTAAACATACATAAGATTCGAGTTCAAAAACATCAACCCTGGAGCTTGGTGTACCACTTACACCCAAATACATTTTAACTATATGTGTCTATATATACTCAGTTCTTATGGAATGATGGCAACATAAGAAAACTTGATCAAATACATCTTAGCCACCTGTACCTATCTTCATGGTATGACTCGTATCATGATAGTTTGGCCAAATATATATCGGTTAACTAAAACTAACAACTAAAAAATAAATATTTATTGAGTAGATTGGCTTAAGATTGTCATTAAGTTATAATTAAAAAAATAACTAATTAAAGACTGGTCAAAATAATTAGTTACTTGGACGAACCCATTTAGATAAAAAGTTCATAAACATAATATAAATAAATATTCTATAAGATACATTAATTACATCATTAGTTATCTTCTGATGAACTCAATTGATGTCTTCTGAAAGACATAATCCTAATTTGGTTTGGAGAACACAAGTAGCTTGAGTATAAATACATAAATTGTTTGGAATTAAAAAAATAATATATAATAAATAAAAAAATTGCAACAAATGCATAAAGTTCTCCAATTCTTAGTTTTCTTTTCTATCCCTTAAAATACTCTATGATATTAAAAAAATTATTATGAGGGTGTAGTTAGTAATTCTATTGCAGAAAGCAATACCCTACACTTCTAAAACCCATTGGGCCTAATTTTGTAAACTATTTATTTTTCAGCGTTGCTTCCTCCACCACCACACTATACTCTCTGCACTCAAATTCTTTTATTTTCAAAATTATCCTTAGGTTAAAGGCTAAAACTTTTTTACTTTTATCACGAATTTTTAGTTTATTTTTCAAACTTTAATTTTACCTTATTCATATTCTCTGAACACAGCAGTTCATATTCTTTGAACACAGCAGGTGCACTCCCACCCCCATATGAACTCAATCTTCTTCTACTTACTTGTATACACGTCAGATATAAATTTTTAATTATCTTTTGTTGATGAAGTACATAAAACTATCATGTACTCGATTATACCTAATAATTACTATTGAAGTTTAGTTAATCAATCTTTTAAATTTGAATAATGAAAATTCATATCTGACATAGATATAAATAGGTAGAAGAAGATTGAGTTGACATGGAGGTGGGGGTGCAGCTGCTGCGTTCAGGGAATATGAATGACGTAAAATTAGGGTTTGAAAAATAAATTAAAAATTCTTGGTAAAAATAAAAAAGTTTTAACCTTTAACCTAAGAATAGTTTTGAAAATAAAAGAAATTGAGGAGGTGTATGAGCATGTCGTGGTGGTGGAGGGAACAACACTCATTTATTTTTCTTTTTTAACTCCTTTCCTCTCTCATGTGCAATTTCAATTCAAGTCTTATTTTTTAAAAAACCAAATTCTATCTCAAGTAGCTAGTATATGAAAGATACTTTATTTTAAAATAGCTTTCATTTTATTTGTATACCCATAGATTCAAATAACCAATAACATGCAATTTCTTTTTACATTACACAACACGTGAACACATGAGGCTGGCATCATAGACATAAGGTTTGAATACAGGCACATCAACTTTCGGACTGGTTTACCCTATATGTCAATGTATATCTTAATTATCTATGTCTAGATATACTTAACTCTTATGACATGACCGCAACAGAAGAAAACTTGACCAAATACATGTGGGTCAATCAAGACAATGCTTCTCAAATGTTCGAATATAGCCACTTGTACCTAGATTTACTCGATCCTCGTGGTGTGATCCTACATTATGTCAAACAACCAGAATTGACAACTAAAAACTGTTGACTAAGTTGACTTAAGATCGTAATTAAGATATGATTAAGCAGATGAATTAACTAAAGATTAATCAAGATAATTAGCTACCTAGACCAAACTCATTCAGGTAAAAGTTCATAAGCATAGTATAAAGAACATATCCTATGAGGTTTATTAATTATGATCCATAATTACATCATTAATTATCTTCTAACAAACTTGGTTGAACGTTAGAGTGTCTTTTGCAGGCACAACCTCTGTTCAACTTGGAGAGGACCAATATCTTGGTTTGAAGCTATAAGGGCTTGGAGTTAGAGGCTTTGTAAGAAAATTTGTGTATTTGAATACACTATTAATTTGATAAGTTGAGGATTGAATTTTAGTTTCATTGGTGTTTTTTTAAGTCTTTAAAATTTTAATGTTTTCCAACCTTCTCTAGTTATTCTTTTATTCTTTTAAATGTGAGTAATAATGAATGTTTGAAATTACTTCATAATCCTTTTGTATAATTTACGAATATTGAATAATGGTAAGTTAACTGAAATTAGGTGCATGTGGTATAAGACTTTACTTTTAATTAGTTTTGAAATGGGTAAAAAGAACTAAATTATAGTTATATTGAATTGTGTTATATATTGAACATTGAATTATTGATTTAATATAAATAATGTATTTAACTTTACATTATCAAATTGATTTGAAATATTATGTTTATAATTGTGCATTTTAAATTTGATGAAATATATGGAATGATAATTTTTTTTAATATTATGCATAATTATATATCTGCATTTTATATAAAAATTATTAAATATTATTTAAGTTTGTTTATTATAGTTCTGAATAATAAGATGGTGAAATATGTATATATAATTAATAAAAATAAATAATTTTATATGACTGAGTAAATATATTTGTCAAATAAACATATATAACAATTTAATAGATAAATAATTAATAAATACAATATATATATATATATATATATATATATATATATATTATCTAATAATTTAAGCCAAATGATTAATGATTTTGGTTGTTGTGAAAAAGAATGGTTAAAAGTTTAAATTTGACCTCTAATACTTTTGTTATTTCTAAATATTTAATTTTATTTTGAGGTAAAATGTGAGAAGATTTTGAAAGTATGAAATGAGATTTTGGATAAATGTTTTATTGGATTATCAGACAAAGTATTTTTTATGTGCACTGTGAGTAAAATTTATAATATATTCAATTTCGAGTATACTTACTCAAAATATCCAATAACATATCCGCCACAGAAATGTTTTCCGCCTAAATATACTTAGTCAAAATAAATTTGATAAAATTAAAACAATGATTAAAACATATTAATAAAATACTAGACAAAATTAATCAAGATGATTAAATATATAAATCAAAAACTAAAGTTTATAAATATAATTTAAATAATACACTTTAAATTAATTATATTCTTATTATTATAATATTTATTACTACAACACACCTTGGTCGGAAGGCAAATGGTTGAAGATTGAAACTTCTAAGAAAAAGTTACCAGTGGTCTTTACAGCTATATGCTGTCTTACAATAATAATTAGGCAAACTTTAGAAAGTTAGTTACTTTTTAACTGAAAAAGTAAAATTTAATTGATTCATATAATTTATATCTTATTTTACATGCTATTTCGAAAGTTTTATAAATATAAACTATAAATAAATTTAAAACATATTATGCACTATTTTGTATATAGTTTTTAAATATTTTAAAAAAATTACATCACAAAACCAATATGAATAAATTGTAAAAACTCTATTAAAAAATTGTGGGTGATTTGATTGAAGGTGTCACAGTAATTTAATATTTTTCGTTAAAATATATTTTAAAAGTAAATTTAAGTATAACTTAACTTCTAAAATAATATATATTATAAATTAATTATTTTTAATCAACGTGAAATATATGAGACGCAATATATGCAATTATTAAAAGAAATATATGTCCATTTTTTTTCAATGAAACAAGAAGAAATTAATTAGTTGTTTTTTCAAATAATACATGTCCAATTTTAACTAATTTGTGTCCATTTCCGATAATAGATTTAGAAGGGACCGTTGGTTAGTTTTTAAATCCATTTCTCCGTATATTTTGTCAAATACAAACTATTTTTCTGCTATTTATTTTAAAATGCACACTTTATATGACACATTTTTTACTAGATTAAATATTGAACAATAATGAAATTTCTTTTTTTTTTCCAAAAGTCTTTTTTGTTTCTTATTTGAAATTACAAAATTATTAACTGCCATTTTTTAATTATATAAACTTTACATGTTAAAAATAAAAAAATAGTGCGAAACATTAATTAGATATATTAAAAAAGATACAATATATATTAAAAAATATAAATAATCTTGAATCTATTTTAATTGGCTAAAGAAAATATTAAATATTTTAATTTTATTGACTGTCTTTTTTATTTATTGATATTTAGGTAAAGGCACATATATAATATTAGTCAAAAGCACATATATAATTTAGCAAATGATATTTTTTAACAAGTATATAAGAATTAGTTATCATTTAATATTTAATACTTTCAACAGTAAAAAGTTATCTATGATTAATTAAATTTTTTATATTTTGGAAAACTTTGTAACATTTCTCCATATACACTTTCTATAACTTTTGTTT